TTAAAAATTAAGAAGTGCTCGGGGCTGGAGAGATAGCACAGCGGGTAGGGCATTTGCCTTGTACGCGGCCAACCTGGGTTCTATTCCCAGCTTCCCAGATGGTCCCCTGAGCACCGCCAGGAGTAATTCCTGAGTGCAGAGCCAGGAGTAACCCCTGTGCATCGCCGGATATGACCCCCCCCCCAAAAAAATTAAGAAGTGCACTCAAAATAGCCTGGGGTCTGTGTGAAGTGCAGATGTTTGGTGACTTGCAATGCCCTTGGTTTCTCTATCTGTGTTGACTTGTGAAAACTTTATCAGGCTGCCCAAATGCATGAGGTTGTATTACCTGGGCTTTCTCTGGTGGGGGTGGGCAGAGGACACCCCGGCCCACTTCCAGCCTGCAGGACCAAGCTGTTGGGGACCAGAGTAGGAGCTGCTTTTTGAGCCAGAGGTAATTCACTGAACGGGGTGGGCTACTTTCCCAGGCAGCCCCTGAGCCCCAAAGTGGCCCCCATGGCACTTCAGTATCTATTTAAAATGTGTTCATTTAGGTAGCTCTGGCCGATGCCCCAAGCCTGAGGGTACTTGAAGCTGTTCATCTAGTCATTAAAATTAATGTTTCATGGTAAGGATGAAAATAATCACGAGCTCCATTCTGTTGGTGGTACCAGCCTCAGGGGTTTGGAAGAGGCCCAGCCGCATGGAGGATTCAGCACACCCCACTAGTCTATCTACAAAATGTGATGGACTTAGGAAGATATTTAGATTTTTTTTTCTAGCAATAATGATGGCGAACTTCACTTACTCTTCTGGGAGACAAAGAAGATGATATTTTGTTTTTTTGAGGTGAGGGCCTCAGTCAGTGGCACCAGTGTGCTTGCAGTGTACCGGACGGAGGCCACGTGGGAGTCTCGTGTCCTGCTGCTTGAGCTCCGTCTGTGCCCAGGGCTGCCTCCCAAAGGCAGGTCCTAACCCCTGCATAGAGGTCGCCTAGGGAGGGCATGTGCTGTCAATGCCAAGCGGAGTTCAGCTCTAGGAACAAGTCTTGTTGTTTGTATTGTAAGGGTCACTAAGAGATATCTGGGCACAAGGGCAGTTTTCGCAGAAATCGGATTTGCAAACACAGTGAAAGGAAAATATTTTTCCCTTCCCACCTTCTAGGTACTCTCCTTTAATTGGACAAGTGATTTATGGCCACTCTAGAAAAGTGTGAAAATAAAATAAAAGAAGGTAAAAATAACACTGATTGTGTCACACTCCAGATGCAACTGCCATTTTTGCTTTTAATTACCAGACTTTCTGTGCCTCTGAATCATTTGTGATTTATTATTTCATCTCCTAATGCAAGCTCACGTCTAGATCATGAGACAAGTTCATTGAGAAGTAGAGTCTCCCTGTATTTCCTACTCTAAAAGAAGGCTCTGGGGTCCCACCAAGTTGGTTTTGGGGAGAATTAGCTTCTTCATAAGGAATCTCCTGAGCAATGTGTAGCTCTCCGGGTTTGGGGATTTAGAGCTGGTACCTCCAGTTTATTGCAAAGAACCCTCGGAGTGATAGTAAACCATCCCGCTTGTGGTGTCAGATACTCACAACAGCACCTTTCCATTCCTCCCTTCCCTTTAAGTTATTGTGATCTTGTAATGAGATTTTATTGAGATTTACATCATAAGAAAACTTCCATGGTTACCATTAGTTGTCCTTTTTAGTGCTCTTACTTCCTTTACTTTACTTTTCTGGAGATAATGTTTTTACATTTACTGTCTGTCACCTGACCAAAGAATTCCTTTGTAACATTTTTTTTTTTAGAATTCAAGTATGCTGGGGATGGATTCTTTCCACCTTCCTGTTTTTCTTTTCTCTTGAGGAGCTGGAGCGATAGCACAGCGGGTAGGGCGTTTGCCTTACAAGCGGCCAACATGGCCGACCCAAGTTCGATTCCTCCGCCCCTCTCAGAGAGCCCGACAAGCTACCGAGAGTATTCGATATGCCAGACACAGTAACAACAAAGTCTCCAATGGAGACGTTACTGGGCCCGCTCGAGCAAATCGACGATCAACGGGAGGGCCTTTACCTTTACCTTTACCTTGAGGAGATGCCACAGATGAAACCCAGGGCTTTGGTGAAGCAGGAGATCTTTACCACTGAGCCTCATCCCTGGACTCTCCTTTGTTTTACCTTTTTTTTTAATTGTTTTTTAAATATGTTTTCACTGGGTATAAAATTTCAGATTGTCAGTTGTTTCATTCAGGACACTAAGTTCTTGGTGTCATCACTAGGTTCTTGAAGACCATGATTTTAAGAGAAAACATAGATAAGGATCTTGAAGACCATGGTTTTAAGAGAAAACATAGACAAGGAGACCAGGTCCTGGGAGTCAAGTCTTTCCACTCAACCAGCTGAGCTTCCTCTCTGATTCTCCTTCAGTGCTGCAATGAAAAGGGTATTTGAGACTCTCATGAACGTAAAGATCCTTCACTGTTTTTGTTCACTTCCAGTTCCAGTGAGAACAAACCAGCTGTCCTCTTTACTTGTGTTTCTCTCCCAAAGTCTTTTTTTCCTCTGGCTGCTTTTAGGTTTTCATCTTTGATTTCTGCTTCTGAGCATTTTGATTGTGATGGTTCTTGGAGTAGATCTGTTCATCTTTCTTAAGCTTGAGGTCTCCCATGCGTCAGTGGATTGTGATTTTTAGGATTATCTCAAATTTGAAAGAAAGTGCTAGTCTTTCAAATACCTTTTCTACTCTGCCTACCCAGTCAAGTGTCTGGTTTAACGAGCCAGAGTGCCCGACAGTGTCCCTTCGTTCTCATGGATGCTCTTTTCATTCATGTGACCCTGCTTTCACCATTTCATTTCAGACCAGATCTATGATCTTCAGCTACACTGAGTAGTTCTTCTGCATGTCTGACTTGCTGGTAATACTATCTGTATACTTTTTTCCCAACTGTGGTGTTGGACCTGGGTCCCTTTGGACAGGCTTATTTGTCTTTCCATTTGGGGTTCTGTTAATTTTGTTTCTCTAAATGTCCAGTAAACCTTTGTTTGGATGACAGATGTTAGGATCTTGCCTTGTTGGGTGCTGATACTTTATATCCCCGTAACCATCTCTATCTTTAAGTTGTAGTTAATTACTTGGATACATTGGTCCTTTGATGGGGGGTGGGGTTCTTGAATCTTTTATTTTCTTTATTTTTGGGCAATTCAAGAGCAGTGCTACCTCCAGGACCAATCCAGACCCACTCATTACTAATATTTGGTCCTCAGGCCAGTGTGATAGAACAGTGGACTGGGCATTTGTCTTGCACGTGGCAAACCCAGGTTCAATCCCCAGCACCCCTTATGGTCCCCCAAACCTGCCAGCAGTGATCTCCTGGGTAGAGAGCCAGGAGTAAGCCCTGAGCACCACCGGGGGTCACCCAAAAACCAAAAACAAATAAAAGGTTTGTTCCTTCGTTTTCTTTCTTTCTTTTTTTTTTTTTTTTTTTTTTTGCTTTTTGGGTCATACCTGGTGATGCACAGAGGTTACTCCTGGCTCATGCACTCAGGAATTACTCCTGGCGGTGCTTGGGGGACCATATGGGATGCCGGGGATCGAACCCAGTTTGGCCGCGTGCAAGGCAAACGCCCTACCCGCTGTGCTATCGCTCCAGCCCCCTGTTCCTTTGTTTTCTACCTTGGGAATCATTACTTCCGCTACCTCCCCACCCCCCCACCCCCCCCCACCCCCGAGTAATGGAAGCCTGCAGTGTTGTGTGAGTCCTTCAGGTGACCTCCTTCCTTCTAGCCTTGTATAGTTTTCTCACCTATGCTCCAGCCCCTACGCGCCTGGACACAGGATGCTCTGAGATGTCTGGAATTCTTCGTCTGTGTGTTCTCCCCCCTCTGCCATTCTGCCCACGCCCAGCCACGCTGACCCCCGAGACCCTCAGCCCTGCCTCCTGCAGCTCCCTGTCCACCCACCACACCTGAAAAAGGGCTCCCAGGACAGAGCTTCCTAAACACACTTGCCCACCAACCTCTGTGTGCCTGGACTAGGCAACACGGACGGGCACGGCCAGAAACCCTCTGCATTCACTCAGGACACGGTTGATTTTGACTCTTTTTTTTTTTCTTTTCTTTTTTTTAATCACTCTGCATTTAGAAACCTTTTTATCCTTGCCAAAGTTTTCATAATCCCCACATGTGGTCACCCGGCATGGGGTCATGACTCACAGTTTAAGAAGCCAGGTCTTGGGGTGAGAGGTGAGCTGTCATGAAGCTCGTCACTGACTTTCCGGGCCCTCGGAATGTGCGTCACTGCAGGTGACCCGTGGAAGTGGCCTAATATGTTGTCCAGGTTTTGTTTTTGTTTGGGGGTGGGGTTTTTTTATTTGTTTGTTTTACTTTTTTTTTGTTTTTTGGTTTTGTTTTGTTTTGGTTGTGTTTTCATTATTTTGGTAACAGCATTAAATCCAATCCCTACTATTCCCTCCAGAGTGAAAGAAAAGTCTCCTTCGATTGTACCAGCTGCTAGTTTCAGGAGGGCAGGACTGGACTCAGCCAGAACCTGCTCCCCCACTTCCCAGCACTGTGACCTTTGCCAGGGAACCCTCACGGGGATGCCCCCCTTTGCCCCAGCTGAGAAGGGGGTGGTGCAGTGGCAAGCCCAGGCTTTCTGAGAGGGTAAATGAGATCATCCTGCCAAGCAGACACGATTCCCGGAACAGAGTCGTCAGTGTCCAGTACCTCTGGGCCATTAATGTCATTTTAGTTCCCTTCGAATAGGACCTGGGTAAATCCTTGTCAAGTGAATGAATACCTGCTTACAGTCCTCTGTACCATAGTGTCATCGTCCTAAATAAGGGACGAGACCTGGGACCCTTGAGGACCGGGACAGCCAGGAGTCACCCCCGGTGCCCCCCACCCGGCCCCCCAATTGTGGAGCTCTGAGACCCAGCCCCTCCCACACAGCCCCTGGCCCTGACGCTCAGGTTCCTGTCTGCCATGTAACAGGCTGGTCTCGTGCATTTTTTCCCTTCCAGGGGAAGACAGGAAGACGCCCAGCGAATCCAACAGCCCCTCTTCGTCCTCGCTGTCTGCCCTGAGCGACTCGGCCAACAGCAAGGACGATTCCGACAGCTCTCAGAAGAACAAGAGCGGGAGCAACCTGCTGGTCATCTCCGTGGTGCCCGGGAGTCAGCCTTCCCTGAACAGTGAGGAGAAGCCAGAGAAAGGTGAGGGGGACCAGGGTGTGGCTGGCCCCGGGACCCCACTGCAGGCCCTGGTGCCAGTTTCGAGACAAAGGCTCTGAAAGCAGAGACTTCGAGGGGGAGTCGGCGGAGGGGGACTTCATCACATGCATTTGCATTTCACTTCACCTCAGGCATCAGATGCCAGTTGGGGGTGTTGTGGGTATAGGACTAGGAGTAACATTGCCTCCATGGCTGCTTTTCGGGAGACTTTCGAGCCTGCAGGGAAGAGCATTTGGGAGGGGAGGCTCGGTCCTCCTCCTCCTCTTCCTCTCCTCCTCCTCTCTTCCTCCTCCTTCTCCTCCTCCTCCTCTCCCTCCTCCTCCTCCCCCCTCCTCCTTCTCCTCTTCTTCCTCTCCCTCCTCTTCCTCCCCCTCCTCCTCTCTTCCTCCTCCTCCTCTTTTCTTCCTCCTCTTTTTTCCTCCTCCTCCTCCACTCCTCCTCCTCCTCCTCCTCTGCTCCTCCTCCTCCTCCTCTTTTCCTCCTCCCCCTCCTCCTCTCTTCCTCCTCCTCCTCCTTCTCCTCTTCTTCCTCTCCCTCCTCCTCCCCCTCCTCCTCTCTTCCTCCTCTTCCTCCTCTTTTCTTCCTCCTCCTCCTCCACTCCTCCTCCTCCTCCTCCTCCTCCTCCTCCTCCTCCTCCTCCTCCTCCTCCTCCTCCGGCACCCTCGCAGGCGTGCCCTGTACACCAGTTTCGGTCCTTGCAGGGTTCGAATGTGTTTTTTGCAACTTCGTCTGCAAGACGAAGAACATGTTTGAGCGCCACCTGCAGATCCACCTCATCACGCGGATGTTTGAGTGTGACGTGTGCCACAAGTTCATGAAGACCCCCGAGCAGCTGCTGGAGCATAAGAAATGCCACACTGTCCCCACTGGTGGGCTCAAGTAAGGAAAGCAAGTATACCACTTTTTACTGTGTTCTTATTACTTACCCTTCCCCCACCCCGCCCTGGCCCCTCCCTGGAAGGTTGGGGGGGGGTCACGGAAAGAAATCCGGGGGAGCTGGGGATGAGGCAGTGCTGGGGGCGGGGACGGAGGGGAGGAAAGAGGCGGGGCCAGCCAGCCAGTCTCAGCCCTGGGGATGGAGAGACGCCAGCAGCAGACGTCACTGCAGGCTAGAGGCAGGTCGGCAACGGCCAGGGCTTTGTTCAGTTTCATTCAAACGGACTCCAGAGGTCGTGGACCCCTCCAGAGATCACAACACCCCCCCACGGGCCCCTCCTGAGGGGTGAACCATCGTCCAGTCCCTGCAGTTTGCTGTCTATTTTTTAGATCACTCACCAGGAGTCTTTGGATGGGGCCTTGCGGCCATGCCGTCTGCACCCGACTTGCAAAGCCGGGAGCCTGGCCTGGGGTGCTGGCCGGAGGTCTCATGCCCCACCTTTGCCACCTGCCGTCCTGAGAGCCAGCATTGCCAGGCCTAGACCAGGGGTTTCCTCTCCTTAGCCCAAATTTTCAAGAAGCCTGCAGACTCCGCAGGAGACCGGCAGGGTCCGAGCAAAGGCACCGGGATCTGGTTGACACAGAGGTGCCCACGAGCCAAGCACGGAAGAAGAGCCTCGTGTGCCCTGACCAGGCTCTGTCGTGCTGGCATGGCCTGGACTGTCTGCACAGAGATCCCGAAAGCAGCACCCCCATCCCCCCAGGACTCGGGGTCTAGAAGAGGAAATGTGCCTGTCAGGCCCAGAAAGAGGCACAATTTTCAAGGCACGGTCATTTTTTTTAAAGCTGAGATGCTTGTATCATTAAAGAATGAAAAAAAAAATGACATCCTCCATCCTCCAAGTGGAGGAAAACCTTTTGTTGGGTGGGTTTATTTTATGCTGTCCACTCACAGCTTGCCAGGGAGGTGGTGAGACCCCTTCTGAGTGAGCCAGGGATGGAGCTTTCCAGAGAGACCCTCAGAGCAGGGCCAAGAGCCCCGGGGTTCCTGCCTGGCCTGGAAGGGCCGGGAGCAGCACCTAGTGTGAAATTCCATTCTGTGTCACTTGCTGGGGGGAGGTGGGGGGGGAGGGTGGGGAGGGAGGAAGGGTTGCTGGGTGGGGGAGGGGGAGACTGAGCTGGGAGAGGGGGTGATCATCCCTCCAGAAACCCCCCTGTTGGGGAATACCTAGCTAGAGTTGTTTAGGATTTAATTTGTTTTGTTTCCATTGACCCTTTCTAAATATTTGAGTTTGCTTATATATTTTTTTCTTTTTTTTTTTTTGCGGGGAGCCACCCCCAAGCAGTGCTGAAGAGCCACTCCTGGCTCTGTCACTCCTGGCTCTGTGCATGGGGGGGTCCCTTCGAGCAGTGCCTGAGGGCCCCAGGCTTGCCACTGAGCTGTGTCCCCGAGCCCAGCCCGTTCTGGTACCTCTCTGCAGAGAGATCCGTGCACACTCGTGGCTGGCGTCACACTCGCCCACCCCCGCGTCCCCCCAGCAGCCACTAAGTCCAAAGCTAGCAACTCCGGCTCTGGCGGCTCTAATGTGGCCATTTCAGCCTGTTCCCATTGTCCCCAGGTGGGGCCGCACGGTGGCCCCCCAAGCAAAGGGCTTCCCCCAGGGCGGACGCCTGCTTGAGTGATGCTCACGGGTCCCCGCTGGAGGAGGGCCACTTGGAGCACGCTTTGACAGACTCCCTGTTTGTTTTGCTCCGGAGAGGCCGCCCCACCCCCCTCACCCCCTTCACGCCCTGGGCCCGGGCGGCCAAAGACACGTGGAGCTGTGGGTCACAGAAACGGCCTGGCCGCCCGCCAGACCGCCCATGTCTCGATTGCTTTTCTGTGATGGAACTGCTGTGTACTCTATGATCCTGTTCATAATGCAGATCGAATAAGATTATACTATTATTTTTCTTTTGCCGTAGCTCAGGAGAGTGGTGAGTTTCAGACTCCTCTAGGTAAGGCCCAGCTTGGCGTAGGGGTTGTGTGTGCACCTGACCGGGAAGGGGCTTTATATTTTCTCTTGTGCACTCTGTGAGCTGAGGTCCGAGGCTGCCGGCGAGCTTGGTGCTGAGGAGCAGGGCACGGGCGGCTGTGTGCTGGGCTCTGCTCACCCCCTCCGAACCCTGGGGCCCACTCACTCCCGGGCCCCGCCGGGTCCCCACTCTGACCATCGTCGCTCCCGTCTTGTAAACGGAGCACACGTGCCCCCCTCCCCCGCCCCCCAGGGGAGCCCGGCCACTTCCCGGCGGGGACACCCTCCTCCAGGTCCTGCCCACGCCTCTGCCCTGGCCCCGCTGCAGGGCCGGGGAGCTTGGAAAGGGGGAGCGTAGACTGAGCCAGGCAGCACCCCCCGATCCCCCCTGGGGTTTGACCTAGCCCCCCCTCCACCCTCCCCGGGTATATCCAGCCGGAACCCGATCCGGGTCAGAGCTGGGATGACAGTCAGCCTCCATGGCTCATCGGCGAGGCCCTGGAGCCGTCCACGGGGGGCGCTGCCCGCTGGGAACCCGCAGCTGCCTGGACGCTGCCCACGGCCGGGGTGATGCCGTCTGTCCCGCCCTCGGGCTCTGCTCACACCCCCTGTCCTGCCCTCGCCCCCCGTCCTGGAGAGAGCCGGTGTAGACAGCCCCACTCCACGCCCAGAGGCACGCACGGGCCTCCTCCTGCCCCCCGACTCCCCCGAGGGGCGCCCCTTCCAGCTGCTCTCTCGTCTCTGGGCCTTTCTGCGTGTGCTTGGTGTGGTGCATGAGAAGTCGGTTCTTTGTGTCGCTCCCGTTCTAGAGGGGAGGTTCCTGAGGTGTAGACCTGGGCTCTGTCGGCTGGGGAGCGGGGAGGGCTCCGAGGGGCCTGGGGAGGCTGGCGGGAGGGGCAGGTGGGGAGGAGCACCCCCTTACTCACGCCTGCACCTTCTCCGTCCCCCACTTCCCGAGGGCTGGTGGCGGCTGTCTCAGCCAGGAGGGTCCCAGGCAGGCCGAACAGGCCTCGTGGGGTGGGGGAGCTCCTCCCTGGCGGGACACCACCGTACAGCCACGAGAGCAGCCAAAGAGGGGGTCCCCGTCACCCACCCCACCCCACCCCACCTCCCCACCCCCAGAGGACCGGGCAGGACCGGGCTGGGGCAGGGGGCAGACCAGTCCAGCCCTCCGCCTGCTGTGCGGAAGAGGGGTCGGGAGGGGAAGTCGGGGTGAGCCGGGCGGCCGCCCCGGGACAGCGGGGCCGGCTGACCGGCTCCCGCCCGTTGCCTCCCCACCCCGCACCCCTCCCCTGCCCCGCAGGTGCCCATTCTGCATTTACTCCACCAACCGCCCCGCTGCCATGGAGTGTCACCTCAAGACCCACTACAAGATGGAGTACAAGTGCCGGATCTGCCAGACGGTGAAGGCCAACCAGCTGGAGCTGGAGACGCACACGCGCGAGCACCGCCTGGGCAACCACTACAAGTGCGAGCAGTGCGGCTACCTGTCCAAGACGGCCAACAAGCTGATCGAGCACGTGCGCGTGCACACCGGGGAGCGGCCCTTCCACTGTGACCAGTGCAGCTACAGCTGTAAGCGCAAGGACAATCTCAACCTGCACAAGAAGCTGAAGCACGCGCCGCGCCAGACCTTCAGCTGCGAAGAGTGCCTCTTCAAGACCACCCACCCCTTCGTCTTCAGCCGCCACGTCAAGAAGCACCAGAGCGGGGACGGCCCCGAGGAGGACAAGAAGGCCCGGGGCCCCGCGCCGCCAGCGCCGCCGCCGCCCCCGCCGCAGCCGCCGCTGCCGCCGTCCCCCCCGGGAGCCGGCCGGCCCGGGCGCCCCGCTCCTCGTGGTCGGCAGCAGCTCCCGGGACCTCCTGTCCCCCCTCTCGGTCATGTCGGCCTCCCAGGCCCTGCAGACCGTGGCCTTGACCGCTGCCCACGGCAGCGCCTCGGAACCCAGCCTGGCACTCAAGGCCCTGACCTTCGGCGGCCCCCCGTTGCGCCTCGACAAGTACCGGAACTCGGACTTCGCCCACCTCATTCCCTTGACCACGTTGTACCCCAAGAACCACTTGGAGCTCACATTCCACCCGCCCCGCCCGCAGACTGCGCCCCCCAGCATCCCCTCCCCCAAGCACTCCTTCCTGGCCTACCTGGGTCTCAGAGAACGAGCAGGGACGGTCTGAGGGCCGCGCTGCTCTCCACCAAAAACCAAGGGACAGACACGAACACGAAAGCCCACCCGGGAAACTTAACGCGCCCCGCCGGCAGGTGTTTGTTGCTGCAAATCCCCGAGGCCTGCCCCGCCCGGACACGTGCGTGCGTCCCCGTGCGTCCCCGTCCGTCCGTCCGTCCGTCCGTCCGTCGTCCGTCGGGCGGGCGGGCGGCGCTGTGTATGCCTGATGCATCGACCTGAAAGCTGCTTTCTCCGATCTGCAAGAGGTGACCGTCGCGCTGACCCTCCTTCCCTCCGAGGCATGCCCACCCCAGCCCAGCCCGGGCACCCACGCCCGGCCCTGCCCGCCACCCCCCACGTCTCTCGCCAAGGAGTCTGCTGCGCTGGTTCTGCCCAAGAGCGCGCGCGCGCGCGCCCTTCCTAGACATCAATCAGCACTTGGAAAGCGTGTCGTTTCCTGCAGGCCTGGGGGGTGCGCGAGTGAGTGAGGGTCCCTCAGGGGCGCATTGTCTGTCGGATGCATGTGGGAGGTGTCCATCGCCCCCTGCCCCCGCCCCTCCCCTTCTCTGCACACCGGCATCACCATCCCCCCGCTGCGCTCTGGCTACCCAGTGGTTAGGGCCGGGAGTTGCAGCGGCTGCCCCTGCAGAGCTGGTTGGTACACACTCTCCCGGGCTGCCTAAGATTTCCACCAGAGCCCCCCAACCCCACCCCACCCCACCCCACGGGAGCCTGGGCACGCCGCCGGCGCCAAAGCTGGGAGAAAGCTCTCACAGAGCTGCAGCCAACAAACATCCCCACACCTTAAGCCTGTCGGTCTGTGTGTTTGCCCACGCGTATGCAATGCCTGCGGTACACACCAGAGTGCGCCATTCTGAAGGGCAGTTGATCTATCTCTATACATCAGCTCACACACACACACACACACACACACACACACACACACACACACCGATGTATCAGTTCAGCGGTTACCATTTGTTTGCAGGAAAAAAAATTAATTGTATGAGTGAAAAAAAAATTTTTATGCTTGATAAGTCCAGCCAAGGAGATTAAAAAAAAAGGGGTTTGGCTAAAATTCTGGGTATAAATGCTCAGACTAAAAAAATATATATATAATGGCGGTTTTGCACAGTGCTTTGGTCTTGCACTACTTTCTGTTTCTCATCTGCAAAAAAGAAAAAAGAAAAAAAAGAAAAATTAACGGAAATGTACCTTTTCTATGAAATGAGTAGACTGTATGTTTGCAAATGTAGTCACAAACTCTTTGACATTTAACGACCCAACACAAAGGTGCTGTTTTGTCCTACGGTTCAGTTTATACCCATTGTGTTTGCAGACTGTCTGGCCAGCACGGTTTTCTCTCCATGTTATGAATAATTCTGTATTCCACTTTGTTAACGCCTGGTAGATGTAACCTGCTAGGAGGCTAACTTTATCCTTATTTAAAGCTCTTATTTTGTGGTCATTAAAATGGCAATTCGTGTACAGCACTTTATTGCAGCAAGCAGGTGTGGATTGGTCACGCAGCCTTCGCTGATTTTACCAAGCGATGGTGGCGAGAGGGGGTAGGGGTGAGGAGAGGAACTGAATTCGCACCGGGCTGAGTGTGTTCATTGCTTGTATTTTTAAGACAACGGGATTTCCAGGAGGAAACAGGTCAAAAGAGCAGGAAGAAAATGTGCTTTGTATCATAACGGGACGTTTGGGATATCAAAGTTTATATATTATTTATCTATGGAAGAACTGGTATACCGGAGCAATGCTTTTCTTAACTGCCATTCTGTTTGCCAGCCCGCGTTTTACTCTATAGAGTTGGATGGGTTTTTTATTTTTCCATCTGTTTCACCGGGATGGGGGGACCAGGGGAGAGGGGGGGAAAGGAAAACATCCCTCCTTTTTTCCCATTTGTCACATTTGGCTTCCCTGAAAGCGCCCCCTCTCAACCGGTGCAGTTTCTCAACCAGGAAGCGCAAAGACTGCCACCTGGTCCCCACCTCACCTGCTTTCCTTCTCCCGGACCTCACGCCGTGCATGCCCCCCCACCCCACCCTGCCGGCCCGGCCAGCCCTGGCAAACCTGTTTACACTCAGGAGATGTCCCCAGGGGACAGGGCGGCTGAGCTGCCGGGTGGATTCCTGAGCCGCCTCATTCTCCAGCTGAGACATCTGCTGTTGACCTAAACATCCTTGGACCTGGTCGATGTCCCAGACACTAGCCAGTTACCAGACACTACCACACTCCAAGAATCCCAGCCCCTGGGTGGGTGACTTTTCTTTCTTTCCGGTTTTGTTTTGTTTTTGGTTTTTTTTTTCTCTCTCCCACCCCCCACTGAAGTCGTGTCTTTGTCTCCATAGAATGGAATAAAAAAAAAAAAGTGCCACTTGGCTCCTATGTGCTCTCAAAAATACAGGCTCAGTGCTGATAGCAAAGAGGGCCAGGGCGGCCCTTCCCCCTCCGCCAGGGGCCCGCAGCAAAGACCAGGGGCACGGTGATGGGCAGAGCAGGTAAAATCCTGCCCCTGAGGGCAGGAACTGACTTCGCTGCACAGCGTCTGTGCAATACCCAGGCCCAAGGCTGAACGGGTCCAGACGGAGAGGGGCGTTCGAGGGAGTTGTACTGCACAAATGCCTTCATGCATTTCACTGTTTAATGCAACTGGGCAAGTCTAGCAGCGCTTTGGAAAGAGTCCTCCATCTTTCCGGTAAATTATAAAACATTTTCTGAGTGAGAAAAGGTGTGTTTGGAGTTTGTTTGACTTTTTTATATTATTATTGTTATGAATAAAGAGAAAAAAAAATCTACAGCATTTTTTTCAGACGCCACCAAGATAAAATATGTACCCCTGAATACGGTTTGCAGTTGGATACTCAGGGAAGGATGTATTCCATAGCTATCCTTTCCGTGGAAAACACTAATGTCTTCAAGAAATTCACCGGCCAACTCACTTGGGTTCTGTTCTCACTATGCATTCTTCGAGGAAAGCGAGCTTCTTTTTCCATGTAGTGATGCAGTTCGCGTTCTCAGCACTTTCCTCCTCCTCTCTCCTTTTTTTTTTTTTTTAACTCTCCATATTGTGTTCAGATGATCATACTGTCGAGGTCTGTGTACATTACTGAAAAATTTGTATTGTATAAAGCTTTTTGCATTACAAGGCTGTACAGGGTCATTTTGACAGTAACTGCATCTTATGTCGCATTGCCAATTTCTAGTGTATCCAGTTTGGAAGTATAATATACTCTAATTAAAAAAAAACAAAACGGTTGGCTATACTCTTGGCTCTTTTTCTTGCTTGGCTGCCATCGACTCCTTGTCAGTCCCAGGGTTTTGCTTGTCTTGCTTTGTGCCGTTTTGAACTTTTCAGAGCGCTTTGACTAGGTGAAGACCGCTATTCCCCTGTGACTAGCCAAGAGCAGGGTTTACTCGACCGTGGCTGTGGGCAAAGCATTAAGATGTGAATAACCACTGCGGTTGAGAACCGGTTCCTCATCCTCCACGTGCAGGCCCTCTCCTTCCTGAAATGACTTAGCAACAGTGAAAAGTGTTCATCAGCCTTATAACCTCACCTTACGGATCCAAGGTTGGGCCCAGATGAGTGATTCCATTCATCCTAACGAAGATTGGCAAGAAGATTGGCAACTCAGAGGCTAAGGAGGGGCCGGATGGTAGGTTTTGCCATCTATGCAATGCAAGCAATAACTTGTCATTCAGTGGTACCTTCCAGGAAAAGAAAGAGTCCCTCCTCAAAAAAAAAAAAGCGATATACTAAATTCAAATTATAATTATTTGAATTCATTTTATAATTCTGCCCACGAGAACTTCCCCGGGAACCCATGATGGAAAGACTGGCCTAGTCCACAGCTTGTTACAGTCCTGGCTCATTTCAATAAAAGAGGGCCCAAGTCTTTCTCAAACTTACTTCACAGTGAGCTAGTGGGCGCACCCAGTTCAGAGTCACTCAGGCTGCCTTCTTCTGGTCACCTTGGGGTTTGTTCCCCCAGGGAATTAAATCAAGCCCTGCCACTTGATTTAATCACTAATGACTGTGTGGAGACGGGTCTTCATTGAAAAGATGGAGACAGCTTAGCACAGCAGTTTTTTAATATTTAAAAAACTGAAATATTCACATTTTCAATTATTTTTTAACCATAGTGTTAAAATATTAAAATTAAGCTCCTTTGCAGAGCAGACTTTAACAACAACAAAAAATTTTAATATTAAAAAAAAGGTAGGGGTTGCGTTGGGGGCACCCAGCCACCCACCCAGCAGACCTCAGGGTTCACTTATGGCTCTGCTTAGGGGTCCCTCCTAGCTGTGCCTGCGGACTAACCATAAGCAGTGCCAGGAATCAAACCCTGGTCTGAAAGGTTGCACAAACAAGTGCCCTACCTGCTGGCCCATCTCTCCGGCCCTTGAAAATAGTTTTGAAGGGCTGGAGCAATAGCACAGCGGGTCGGGCATTTGCCTTGCACTCGACCAACCCGGGTTCAATTCCCAGCATCCCATTTAGTCCCCTGAGCACCGCCAGGGGTGACTCCTGAGTGCAGAACCAGGAGTAACCCCTGTGCATCGCCAGGTGTGACCCAAAAAGCAAAAAAAAAATAGTTTTTAAATATTTAAAGACAATCCTAAAGTATTAAAATTAGATTGCTTTGCTCACCCAGCAGGAATGCCTTCCTGGATTGATGGCATATTTTTTCCCCTTTTAGACACCACACCTCCATCACGTATTGCCCATGGCTGAGGAAAGCCTGAGCTCTATAGAAAATAAGCTTCAGCTGGGATGCTTTTTCCTGGTGGATGGGCTTCCAGGGGGCTCAGGAGCAGCTGGGAGAAGAAGTGGGTCAGACCACACACCTCTGTTGGCTCAGTGCCACACCTGGTCCTGGATCCTCTCGCCAGTAACGTGGGCCCTGATTGAATATAACCCAGAATCACGGCCATTGTTCCTACAGTCATGTTCACTGAATAAAACAGATGTCTTGGGGCTGGAGAGAGACAACAGTGGGTAGGGCATTTATTTGCCTGCTCAAGGCAGATCTGGAATCAATCCTGGACATCTCATATGGCACCTTGAGCACCACTAATAGTGAGTGCTGGGTGCAGAGCCAGGAATAAAGAT